CCTTAAGCAACCCATCTTCGACCACAGTGGTCCAGTTACCTCGACGCATAACCTTGGAACCACTGAAACTCCTGCCGGTCCAATTTTCGCCGAAGTAACATATCGAAATGATTGTAACTTTCGTGTTGATGATTCTGAATCTCTTCTCAGCTCTCGATTCATGGGTGCCGACGAACATTTTTTCACTCCTTCATTGGCAGCAAGAGGTGATTTGAGTCGTCGAAGGTCAACAAAGCAGCCTGAGATTGGCTCACTCCCAGCACACAAACAACTTACAGATGATTCTGGCCCAATTCAAACATATGGAAGTTTATCAACATTCCACGGAAACGCTCCTCCACGAGGCTCGAGCCCAATATCCGCCTTGAGAGCTCAGAGACCCATAGGATCAGATACGAGCTCCCCGCCTATGGGATCTTTACCACAATCACGACCCTTACTGGGATCGAAAGGCTCGATAAAGTCATTGGAAGGTATCGCGATGGCGAGGAGACCATCATTATCGTTTCAGCCATTCAAAGCTGGCTCACTCTCTTCCTCTCCTAGCCGTGCCACTTATGCTGGTGAAACCTTGCCTGCATCTCCAGGGTCCTTGCCAAGGCCATCTGGAATTAGTGCACTTGCACAAGCAAGAAATCGTTCATCTCTCATAGCTGGAATGCCGGCTACGTTGAGAGGGGGCCCAATGGCCGCAGACAATGTTGTTCCCACATCTGTCTCAAGCTCGCCAAAACCTGCTCCAATTCGCTACAGCAGTAGTTTTAGTCATCGTCGTGGCAGATCATCTTATGGAGCAGCTAGTAAAACAGGAGAAGATGATCAAGGAAGCAGTGGTAAACAAAGTCTCTCATCTTCCGTGCAACCAGGTTCTGGTATTCTTGCAGAAGCTGGAACCGGTGGTAGTTCGGGATCCTTACAAACTGATGATGACAATATATCGGATTTTTTGAAACTTTTGGAAAGTAAGAAAACCTTACAGAGTTTCGAACCTTCTGGGGAAGCATCAAAAAAAAGAGCCACTGCACAATTATCCAGATTTCAATCAATGCGCGATTCACATAATGCTTTGACAGATTCCATGGCTTCATCAACAATGCTACAAAGATCATCAAGTTCTTCGAGTCGACAATTATCCAGTGTACCTCCCATGGTTGCTGCTACTTCAATTTCAGCAGGATCATCCCCTGGTAAACCCATCTCACCACACACTCCTCACACTCCCGCCATTCCTTCACGATTAAGTGCAAATTCAATAGCTGAGTACGATCAACCACGAAGACCAAGTCGACGAAGTAGGACTTCAGAAGCGAGATTAGATGATGTGGAAGATAGTGATCATCCAAATGATGCTGGAACAAATGCTATCGATATTCCTACCTCACCTAGACCGTACTACCCTCACGCTCGAAGATCAAGTTCTGTTGCTCAGCAACATCGATCGTTGGCAATTGATGATGAATTGGGTGATCTCCCATTTGGGGTGCACAGAAGTATAAGCTTAGGAGCCGATGATCGGGAGCCACCAAGTTTGAGTGCCCTTTTGAACATTGGACAAGCTTCTGAGGAGGTAGAATCACCAACTGGACAATCTTCATCTCAACTTCAACCTGCTCCTCGAATCTCCGAGGGTACCACTGCCATGTCTCGTCAAACTTCATCATCTTTGGAAGCTCATGATCCAGATGTTCCTCAAGTTTCTCGATTCAGTGGTCCAGGTTCTGCAAACTCACCATATCGACCACGCATTGGTAAAACTGGTGGCCGTGGAGTCACTCCACCACAAACCGGTTCCTTCTCTAGCCTCCTCGTAGATAGAGGAAGTGGAAGTGGTAGTGAACGAGCTAGTGGTGGCAGATATAGTTTTAGTAGGGGGCAATATGAACCAGATGATGAGCCATTACTCTTTGACATGAGTGAGATTGGAAGAGATCGAAGAAGTATTGATGAGGCCAGAGGCTACGAAGCAAATAGAGGAGGAGATTCTGGCTCATGTAGTCGAAGAGGTAGTCGATGGGGTAGGTAATTTATTTCAACATACGAAGCGAACATGGAGACTGGATTCTTCAAGAAGTTGCGTTTCGAACAATTGATGCATTATACGTCATTTACGATACGACTATAAGATATGTTGTATAGCTTGGAGATACATAGCGAAGTGCGCGTTGATTTCATTTATATTTTTATAATCATCAGATGGAGTTGAAGGTTTATTGAATCCTTTCATCACGATTGTTTTTTATCGGATTGATCCTTCACAGGATGTCAAATGAGGATATTTGAATTTCTCTTCTTTTTTTTGGCGCATCTCGTCTTGTATTTATTTATTTATCCCCATAAGTGCTTTGGGAACAAGGGGAGGGTGGGTCATAAATTGAATGGATGGATGGGTAGTTTAGTGCGCATGGTTGGATTTGATTGATACCTTGGTGTTCTTAAGAGTTGATGGATAGGTGTGGAGGGTGGCAATGGATATGGAGTGTGTAGGGCCAATAAGGAATACATATTATCAATTAACTACCTACATACTCGTATATCTATCTATATTATGAAGAAATACACTCTACTCTGCTTTACTTTTATTTTAGGTGTCTATAGAAATTATGTGAAAGGTGTTGATTTGAATGATTGATGAATCATATGGTTTTAATGCTTCGCTCGAGAGAGGGTACTTGGTGTACTCAGGGTACGTTCGGATCGATCTATTTCGATCTATTTCAATTAACGTGGTTTATCAGCATGTGGGCCATATCATCATGTGGGCCATTTGAAAATACACCAAAATTAGGGCTTTTTTTCATATTCTTTATAAAATAACTAATCATTATTTTGAGGGAAAAAAAGATCATTAAATAATAATAAGAAATTAGCTTTCTATAAATAAATCTTTTTAATGAATATTTTTATTAGATTTTGGAAAAAGTCAGAATTGTCACGATTTTCGTTACAAAAAAACTATTTTAATAATAACTCTTATATTAATTTGAATTTTCGAAAACTAATTAGAAATCTTAATACTTTTATAATCAAATATCATATATTAAATTTTTGAGAGATTATATTTATAAATAAAGAAAGTGTACGGTTACGCACAGACGAATTTTGTATGCAAAAAGGGGTGGCCCATATGATGATATGGCCCACATGCTGATAAACTACGTTATAAGATTCAAATTATTTAGTGAATAAGCTTAAGTAATAGGTTTACCGAACGCTCGAGATTGTGAAATAAATTACTAGGAATTTATTTGATAAATAAATAAATTTACTAATAATGCTTATCCTCTAGAATACGAGCAAATGACGTTTAATATAGTTTGTATACTAATCAGAATATTAATAGTTTTATATCACGCTAAAAGTGATATCACTAAGAGCATTAAGCTAATTGGGTTTATATAGGCATATTCTCTCGTGACACACCCCCGAGATTGCTGACTAGCTGGTTGTAGGCAGTAATCTCTGTACTAGTCTTATTGAGTTATACGCAGATCTCCTTCTATTTCCATATGATGCCAAATCTAGGTTCTCTTTTGATTGGATATAATTAGTATTAGGTTCTTTTTGGATATATCTAATAGGTTGAGTGGAAAATAGTGGGGCAACAGAGTAGAGTCCTCATATTAGCTTTAATAGGCTAAGATTAGATGACTAATGTGGTTTTGTTGAAATACTCTCTTATAAGTGGGCCTATAGAAAACTATTATAAGAGAGTACGGTAAAGTGAAGAATTATGCCACTGTGTTATAAAACGCATACCGGGCTCATAACTATCACGCTAAAAGTGATATCACCAAGAGCATTAAGCTAATTGGGTTTATATAGGCATATTCTCTCGTGACATTTTATAAATAGTATTATATATAAAGATTTCAATGTTATATTTAAAGATTTTTAATCTTATACTTAGAGATTGAAATTTGTTAGAAAAGTGATAATAAATATATCGACTATATTTCTATAATTTTTGAAATGTAAAATAATAATTAAATGATTTTAAAAATATTATTATACTTTATCTTTTTTTATAAAAGGATTTGTAAATGATTCTATACAATTTATAATTAAAAATGGTTAAAAATGTATATCGAATAAAAAATAATTCATTATTTATTAAAAATTAAAAGTATTAATAATAGATTATATAAACTTTAAAGAATGTATTATTTACTTATTTATATCAAATAATACGCATTCAATAATTATTATAGAAAAATGTATTGAAATAATGTCACGGAATTCACCGTATAGTGTAACCCTACGGTATTAATCCTAGTACTCCTCCGGAGTACTCATTCCCATGATTACTAAAACTATTTCACTCAGTTCATTTGTGTACCCTATATACCTAATTAGGCGACTCCATCGCCTGATCAGGGTATATAAAGCAGGTATGATCCTTATGATCACACCTCAAGTCAATCTAGTTTATTATCACTCTATATACCTATCTCCTGATCAAAGTGACCATTAGACATAGCTATTACCTCCGTGATAAATAATAAGAATTGTTAAGATTCTGATATTCTGATTGATTAATAGATTCTCGTTAAGCGAGGGCGTCGAATACTCGTACTCTAGGGGATAGCTATTAAATAATTTCTCATAATTTATTTAACAAATAATTTTTAAAATAATAAATACTTTTAAGATCTTTATATATTTACGTAAATAATTCCGTAATATAGCTTTTTAAAGCTTTGTTAAAGATTATTTATTAAATCTTTAATATATCTTTAATAAATCTTTATTTTTTATCTGTTTTTTCTACTATTTTTTCTACTATTTTTATTTTATTTTTATTATTTTTTAAGATTATTCGAATGTATTAGTCTGAATACCTACCCTTACTGTTTTAATATCATTAAGGATTTCGTTAAATAAAAAATCGATTCGAATATATTCTTGATGCTTTGCTTTATTAATGAATGATGGGTTCATCTGATTGGTGGTCTGTGACAAAGATTTCCGAGCACGTGCCGAGGTGGCTCGGTTCGGCTCGGCGGACATGGGTGGGGTGGGGGAGCTTTCCCCGCCTTTTGGTGGGATGAGAATGGAGACGTCATTTATTGCGTGTACTAGGTTATGTATGTATGGATACGTGTTTGAATGTTCGACTGTGAGTTGTGAGTTGAGTTGTATTTTACTGGATTGTTGTTGTTGTTGTTTCTTATATGTAAGTAAGGAATATTCAAGCAAAGGGATATATAAGGAAGGAAAGGGATATAGAAGGAAGAGGATTGATTGAGATTGAGATTGAGATTGTACTTGAGATTGAGAACAGGTGCCAGGCGACGATTTGTAGTCTGCGACGGATACGGGATTGAATTTTTGAGGAAGGTTTGAAAGTTTGAGAAGTTGGGATTTTGAGATTGGGATTGGGATTGAGATTGGGATTGGGATTCGAAAAGAGGAGAAGGAGAGGAGACGGATAAACGGACGGACGATCGGACGATCGGACAAAGGGACGAGAGAGAAAGAGAGGAAAAGAGAAAGGGATAGAAGAATAAGAATAAGGGAAAGAAAATACGAAAGGGAAGGAGAAGAACGAGAGAAGAGAAAGAAGAATACGAGATAGCACGGAGGATAGGGATAGTAAGAGGAAAAAATACTTGGGTATCCAGGTTCGGAAAGAGGAAAGATAGGAAAATAGGGGAAGGAACGAGAGTACACGAACGGACGGGAACGAAGTGGGAGAACGAACTGGGAGAACGGAACGAAATATAATAGGAAACGAAATATAGTAGGAAACGAAATATAGTATAAGAATAATAAGAGACGGACAGAGAGACAGGGAGACAGAGAGACGGACAGACAGAGAGACAGAGATAGAGATTGCAAAGATGTCGGCGATACGGGTTGCTCCTACGGTTAGTGGGGTTTTTCTTTTCTTACATCGCTTCTTTTTGATTTAGGGTCGGATGGGGTGAAGGGGGTGGAGGTTGTTTGATTCGGGTTTGGGTTTGGGTCTCATTTTGGGTAGAGTGATGGAGGTGAGGGGTGAGATTGAGAGGTTGAGAGGTGTGAGGATGAGGTGAGAATGAGAGGTTGTGTGATTATATGGAGTGAGAGTGTACGTATGGGAGATACTGGTGTATGGTAGATACTGGTGTATGGTAGATAGATAGAGGGAATTGGTAGATTGGCAGATGAGAGATGAGAAAGTTCGAGCGCAGGCGAGTTTTGGGGGTTTGGGGGCTTGCTCCCATGGCTATCGAGCAAAAAGCTAACATCCCTCTCCAGAAAGCCGCTCGAGCCATGAACCTCCTCCGCACAATCCAATACACCCACCCGCCCTCCTGCCCCTGCCACAACAATCCCTCGCACCATCACCACCACCCCAGCTCCTCTCTCCTCTCCCAAACCAAACGGAATCTCCAGCGTAACTATGCCACGCCCATGGACCCCACGCGCGAAAAAGAATATGCGTTTGAGATGGCGGCTTCGTCGATACGGTTTGGACCGGGGGTGACGAGGGAGGTGGGTACGGATTTTAAGAATTTGGGGAGTAAGAGGGTGCTTGTTGTTACGGATGGGGTAGTGAAAGAGTTAGAAGCGATGAAGCAGGTTAGGGAGGGTCTTGGGAGGGAGGGAGTGGAATTTGAGGTTTTTGAGGGGACCAGGGTGGAGCCGAAGGATACGAGGTAGGTTTGTTGGTTTTCTTTTTAGGGAGAGGGAGGGTTTCTTTTTTCGACCATTGGTCTTTGCACTCTTTGGTTCGTGTAGTTGAAGAGTGAGAGAAAATGCACAGCTTCAAGTGGAGCAAGCGTATTAATCTCAGAAACGTGATGAAATTCCTGCAAATTGCTGTATTCCAAATGAATACATTTTCTAACATATAAATAGTATCAAAGAAGCAATCCAGTTCTCCAAGAACTATCAACCAGATGCTTTTCTAGCAGTCGGTGGTGGCTCAGTTATAGACACTGCCAAACTCATGAATCTGTATACCTGTTATCCAGATGCCGATTTCATGGATTTCGTAAATGCACCACTTGGTAAAGGTAGACCTATAGATAAAACTCTCTTACCTCTCATAGCCGTTCCCACCACCGCCGGAACCGGCTCCGAAACAACCGGTACCGCCATCTTCGATCTCGTCTCTCATAAAGCCAAAACAGGTATCGCTCATCGAAACCTCAAACCCCTCCTCGGTATATGCGATCCTCTCAATACACGCACGATGCCATCTGCTGTACACGCTAGCTCAGGTTTAGATGTTCTCTGTCACAGTTTGGAAAGTTGGACCGCGATCCCCTATTATGAGAGGACGCCCAGACCTCAAAATCCAATCATGAGACCGGCGTACCAGGGGGCCAATCCGATTAGTGATATTTTTTCTCTGCAGGCGTTGAAGAGTACGGCGAAGTATTTGCCAAGGGCCACGAAAGATCCGGAGGATTATGAGGCGCAGAGTCAGATGTTGTTGGCGGCTACTTTGGCGGGAGTGGGATTTGGTAATGCGGGAGTGCATTTGTGTCATGGTATGTTGATTGGTTTCTTTTGCTTAGTTGGGGTTGGTAGTCGATGTTGGTTGGTTTGGTGTGTGGGACGATATAGATTGCAGTCTAGAGGACAAGAGCTTTGAAGGTTGAAGTTGTTTCGATTATTGAGTTTCTTTGAAAGAATGGACTTGATGAGATGATGGAAGCATTTTCAAGACTTCAAGTTTGAAGTATTTCGGCTCTGACTGCAGTCTGAAATTTCGGGTATACTCTATGACTCTCAAGTTATATCAGTGATTACCCACACCACATCAACTAGCAGTATGCTATTCATCTTCCAAACCATATACTAACAGACCTAGGAATGTCGTACCCAATATCCGGTCAAAATCCCGGCTACACGCACCCCGGCTACGTAACCAAAACCCCCATCATTCCTCACGGCGTATCCGTTGCCGTTTCCGCCCCCGCCGTCTTCCGCTTCACCGGTGCATCGAACCCGGAACGTCATCTGCAAGCAGCAGAATGCTTTGGTGTTGATATCTCGAATGTGAAGAAGGAAAGCGCGGGTGCGGTCTTGGCAGAAGCGTTGGAGGAGTTTCTAGAGGAGTTGGGGGATCAGCCGAGGGGTCTGAAGGATTTGGGGTTCAAGAGGGAACATATTGATGGGTTGATTGAGGGGACTTTGCCGCAGAAGAGAGTTTTGATGTTGGCGCCGAATTTGGCGGAGGAGGTGGGGGAGGAGAGGGAACAGTTGAGAGGGCTGTTTGAGGATGCTATGGGGGATTGATTGATGGGTTTGTTTTGTTAGTTTATCGGTTTGTGAAGTGTTTGTGAAGTGTTTTTTTTTTGAGAAGTTTTGTCTGTCGTATGTATGCATGTATGTATTGTACTGTACTGGACTCAAGTATGATTGTTCAACACAGTATAAAATTTATATCGTTCGTTACGTTACTGTTATTTGATTTTCTATAAAGGAATGGTCAATGAAACTCGGAGGTAGAGGTAGAATAACCTCTGACTTTCTGGTGATTGTTGATTGTCTCTTGAATCTTGAATCTCGACTCTTGAATCTCGACTCTTGAATCTCGACTCTTGAATCTCGACTCTTGAATCTCGACTCTTGAATCTCGACTCTTGAATCTTGACCTCCTCGCCGCTCTAAAGGGAGTTGAGAAGGGAGTTGAGAATGAGTTTACGCTCTTGTTCACTTTTTTACTTTTTCACCTTCGGGGTTGCATAATGGATATGGATATGGATGTTATGTTTGTTTATTTTTTTTGTGAAGGTAGGTGGGTAGGTTAGTAGGTGAATAGGTAGGTAGAGATTGAAAATTAGATGGATATTCACTACTTCTTTCTTCTCTCTTTTTTTCTCTCTTTTGCCTTCTTTCTTTAGGAAAGGTTGGAAAGGATTGGAAGCGATTGATAATGTAGGTGCTGTATAGTATCTAGATGTATCTAGGTGTATCTAGGTAGGTAGTTAGGGAGGTAGGGAGGTAGGGAGGTAGGGAGGTAGGTATGTCTATTTACTTGCTTGCTTAGTTGGTTAATTGGTTCTCTTGGGACAAATATAAGGACAATTTGAATTTGGATTTGGATATAAATAAATTTTATTATATTGTATTGAATTGAAACATTAACTCTTGGTTGGTTGGTTGTTTATCTGATGAATATTTGGGATTCTTTGTAAATCTTCGAAATAACAAGGAGATAATTCGACTGATCTTTTCATTCTTTACATTTTTTCTTATTTTTTTTGTGAACTTGAAAATTTCAATAAGAAAGGGTTTATACGGTTGAGTTCATGCTTGTTGAATTCACTTATTTTGATTTGATTATGAAAACTTTTTTCTTTACATAACGCTGACTTGGCTTCTACTTCTCATCTTTGAATTTGGATTTGGATTTGGATTTGGATTTGGATTTGGATTTGGATTTGGATTTGGATTTGGATTTGGATTTGGATTTGGATTTGAAAGTTTGGTTTCGACTTTATCCGACTATTTGATGATAGGGCATCCTTTACTTTACTTTACTTCAATCTTTGTTTTTATGCGAACTTGAGAATTCGAAAGTGAAGTTGAATTTGAACTTGAATTGAGTGGATAGTTAGTTGATCTGTTTCTATCCGACTTGACTTGATTTAATTCGACTTGTTGAATCTTTTCTACAACTTCAACTCAACCTCAACTTCGACTTTATCCGACGTCTTGAGTTTTTAAGTTGTTTATACATACAATCAATCAATTACTTACTTTAATTCGGACCGAACAACGACAATCAATTTTTTTTCACATTTTTCACCTCCTACGTGGGTGTATTGTATGAAAGGAACTTTTGAGTTTTTTTTTTTTGTGCAATCTGTGTTATTGAGGAATTTGTGGATTGGATTGATCTGATCTGATTTGAGAAAAGCTCGAGAATAGGAGAACTGGAAGATTGAGAGACTGTGTGTAAGGAGACTAAGACTGAGGATTGGATGAAAAGAGAGGTGAAGACGCAGATGAAAGGAGTCTGGTTTATTTGATAACTACTCATCTAGTAGTTGATCAGATTTAAGTTTGTGGAATTGGGAGAGCGGGAAAAGAGAAGAAGAGAGGAGTTGGGAAAAACTAAGACTGGACTGGAATGGGCTTTGAGTGAGCTTTGGATAACATTTTTCTATCAAGATTTGTTGAGTCGAGTCGAGTCGGATCACCATCTTCACCTTATCAACAAACGAATATCTTTCAAGTTCGAATCATCAATCAATCACCCTCACCAATACTCTTTCATCTCAACCTCACAACCATCAAAATGCCTCACCACCTCTCCTCTTTCTTCAAATCCGTCGGCAGCGTAACCGAAAATGCTTGGGAGAGCGCTACGAACAATCTTTCTAATAGTCCGAAACGAAATCGCGAGCGTGGTTTGACTGTTCGTCAAAGTTTTCAACAAGTTCAACCAAGACGCTTATTCCCAGCTGTAAGACCAGCGCCTGTTCCCACTTCTGCTACTGCTACTGCAGATCAACCTATTGGTCTTGGCTTAGGTCTTGGTATGGAAGTGGGATTTGAATCGGCTGATCATGAACATGAACAAGTTGGTATTCCAAGTGGTGTTGAAAATCAAAATCCAAACACAAGTTCCGCTGCGATGGTTGATACAATTCACACAACTCACACAAGCACAACCAACAAAATAGCTTCAAACACAACCATCCCACCACCCTCAACCTCAGCCCTCACAAAAACCTCTAGCAAAAACACTCAAAGAAGTGCGAATAGCAAGGAGACAAGCACAAGCAAGAGTGGAAATAGTTATAATCCGCTGGTCACTACAAGCTCGACATACACGAATCCGAGCGAGAATTTGCCACCGACGCCAAATTTAAGGGCGGTAGAGGTAGGGAAATTTGGGGATGTCGTTGGTGGTGGTACTGCTGCGATTGGTGGTGGAGATGATAGTGCAGGAGGAAGTGCAAGTCATAGTCAGAGTGAAACAATCAGTCCAGTCGATGGAATGGGTATGTTTGGTCCTATTTCTAATCCTATTCCCGGTTCTGGATTTGTTTCTAGTGGTGGTGGTGCAGCTAGTGCGGGAGGAAATGCTACGATTGCGCATGAGCGAAGCGAGCGTCATGGAAGTATTAATATGCAGACTCCTATTGTCACGGCGTCGGGAACTCGCGTTCATAATTATCGAGGTGTGGATCATGGTGCTGTTGTGATTCCTGGTTCTGCTTTGGCTTCGGCTTCGGGCTCGGGTATCAATACTCCAAGATTGATTGCTGCTGGAATTGGTGCTTCTGGACTGGCTACTCGAGGAAGAGAACGCGCTTTTACGATTCCGAGAAAACCTGTGCCAATGACGATTGTGGTTGGCAATACAGGTCTTGAAGTTATACCTTATGGACGTCCAATCGAAGACATCGGAACTGGCGCTTGTATTGTCAATAGACAGGAGTGTATGGACTGGAAAAATCAATTTGATGAACGAGGACGAGGACAAGATGGAGATGAGAAAGATGGTGAAGATGGAGAGGGAGAGGAAGTTGGTGAGAGTGAGGAGGAGAGAAAGGAAAGATTGGAGAAGGAAAGAAAGGAGAGAGAGAAGCGAGATCTGTGAGTTTTTTTATAACCTTTTTTATTTTCAAGTTTTTCTACAGTTCCTGAAGCTATCAAAGCCATTTTATTACACTCACCATCTATCCTTATCCAAGAAGAACAATAACTGACACCCCCAGCCTCCACGAAAACCCCCTGCTCTCCCATCCAGTCGAATCAACTACGATTGCCACCGGCACCCCACCCACCGTCTCTCCAACTTACATCGCTTCCACTTCTCTCAGCTCCAAACGTCGGGGGTTCCGCCGCTCATGGACCGCGCCAATCAATGGCTTTAATTTTACCAGCCTCGGTGGAATCGGCGTTATGGGTTTCGGAAATTCAAACCCAGATCCAAATATGCATGGAGGACTTGGCGATACAGGAATGGGAACGGGGATGGGAATTAATCAGAGAGGCACCGCCAGAGATAGATATTCCGGAAATAGTAGTGAGGGAATGGGAATGGGAATGGGTTCTAGACGGGGAAGTTTTCTGCGCAGAGCAAGTGTGAGTTTCAAGGGGATGGGATTGGGGATGCAGGGACTTTTGAGGGGTGCGAGTGGAGGCAGTGGTGCATTTGCTGGAGCTGGAGCAGGTACTGCTGCTGTGGAGAGAATGGGTTTGAGTATGGATCATACGCGTGAAGGGGGAGGAGCTGCAGGAAGTGGGAGACCGGTCACCATGCATTCGGAGTATAGAGGTGTAGGTGGATATGTGGGGGATGACGCTATGGCTCTTGCGCGGGAGAGAGTTGCGGAGGCTGGTATGTGTTTGCTCTTGTTTTCTTTCCTTTTCATTTGTCGATTATTATCTTGGCCTGAGTTCAAGTCGCTAATGGTTTGTTTGTGATGGATAGAAAATCAACGACGAAGAAGTCATCGCCAATCAATGGTCCTGCCAAAATTCGAATGGGAGGAAGAATTTGCTACTGCGGAGGAGGATGAAGGTGATGCTTGAGTTCTTGTGTTGCTATCTATCTAGTGCTAGTGCGTTTACGCATACTAGACGATTTTATAACAAGAAAGGATGGATATATTCAGGGTTGCATAGCATAAGACTCGTGGCTGGATAGATGGATAGTTTTCATTTTGCTAGGAGGTTGCTTGTTGTGGCGATGAATGAATGAATGGGGGGATGGGAGGATAGGACAGTCACAGTTAGGGGTTTTTAAGAGTGCAATGACAATGATTACGACTACGATTATGAAGGAATGGACGAAGCGGAAGAATTAATAAATACATGGATGACTATGGGTACAGAAATTAGTGATGAGGTCTAGCTAGATAGTGGGAAGTATGTAGGGGAAGTCTGGGTTGGGTGCTTGATTCAGTCACGCACTTTACTTACTTCATTTACTTCACTTGTTTCACATAGTAGATAGATAGTCACTTGAGAGATTTGAAATCGAGAGTTGCTTGCTTTTATTAGGATCTGTTTGGTCGTGATGCTGATTTGTTGTGAGTGTGTATGATGTGGGTATGAATGTGGCTCTGGTCGTAAAACCCATCTTGTAAAAATAGACTCATAAACATAGACCTGGTTCTCTATGAATACACGAATCCATATTCATAGCTACATCATATCCATCCGGTATTATAAATAAATAGCTCAGAAACAAACACAAACTCACTTAGTTTGGTGAGTATAAGAGTGCATAAGTGGAAAATATGTGAGATGAAAGAATTTGTCATGATACTATATTTCCCCGCCCTTGGTTGGAGAAATTTCTTGATGAAGTTATTAGCTACAGTACAAAGATGTGCTACTGTCCAATCAAGGAAACTGATTGGCTCCACAGCTTCTCTCTCTCTCTCTTTCTCTCTCTCTCTCTATCCCCTGTGCGTTGCTTCATTTGAAACTTTTATGCCAATTCTTTTATTTCTCCATTTATCTCCTTTATCTTGGATCTAAAGCAACTAAACATTGCAAACTTCAAGACATATCTGCAAGGATATCGAATTGACATCTAATCATTCTTGATCTACTACATACCAATACTCTGGATGTCAATTCATTCTTGATCTACTACATACCAATACTCTACGTATTTGAAGAAGAAAATTGAGGATGAAAGTCCTGACTCATCTTCTTCATCTTGGGGTTGAGTTCAAGACTAAAAACACGTTACTGAACGAGATGTCGAGACCAAACTGGAATCAAGAGCCACTGAACAAGTAGTGCAAGGAGAATTTCGTGTTATTCAAGAGTTTGAATCTTTCTGGAGAGATGGCAAGAGATTTGTTCATGGTCCTGGTATGTTTGACATCTTTGTATGTTGTTTAATTTCGATGGTCACACTACTGAAACTGCTTTAGACATTAGCTATTACAACACAAGAGTCCCTGAGTACAAGGAAGAATGGAATAGTAATAATTGCTATTATGTCTCAACCATGGACATCAAATCTCTATCTTATGTCGATACCCCAAAGACAGATCCAAACTTAGTTACACACATAAGTGAAAGACAATGGAATCTGCCTCGAAACCATCCACATCGCCTACTCAACTTTCCTCAAGGTATGTATGATATCATTTGAAGCATAGAAAGTTTGAATACTAATCTTACTATTTACAGAGGTTCTCGATCTGATCCTGGGCTTCACATTGGTCATCAAAGATCACACTATCACACCCGATGTCACTTCAAGCAATAAAAGAAATTCATATAAAATGTCACAATCGTACACATTGGACGGCAAGAGATATAAATCAGGCAAGAGATATAAACCACCAAATTTCTGTAACATCGACCATCCGGTTCCATTGAGTACCATCATCACCAAGAAACATCATGATTCAGAAGGTGCATACTTCATGCTTCATAAAGTTTACCGTTCAATGATAGATGCAACAATACTTCGAGTTTGTAAGGCTATTTCAGTTCAAGGGACAAAGATGTTGTATGAAAAGAATACATTTCAGTTCTCCATGACGCAGGTTACCACCACTGCATGTCCAGGATATCTGGTCTCTGGGAAAGTCCACAAGCCCCGTGTGGTACTGAAACACCGTAAACGAAAACAATTGGATTACATCCCTATCCCTGATATGCCAAACCATAATGGGTACCTTCCGATGGCATTTCGGGCAATCGAAACACAGTCATCATTATTTGATCTTGAAGAATATCTCTACCACGATCATTTCATCCGATTCTTACGCGTCATTGGTCCAGCCAAAGCTGCTATGATCAAAAAGTTACATTTTCACGGAATAATTGTCACACATGAATGTCAAGGTCCTGATCTTCTTCGCAATCCAGCCCAAAACCGTCAGGACGTCCACTTTAAATGCGAAGACGACTTGTATGACAGCCTTTTCTTATACATTCCGTTAATCAACAAGTTCTGTACCAGTCTCCAAACAATGGTGATTGGCATTGGAGAAGACAAAATGTACATGCCATCTTGTCTCATACAATCACAGACTATTATTAGATTTGAAGCTCTTGATGAGCTGTTGAAAACACTGAAGACGGTCCGTCGTCTTGAGATCTATCAATTGAAGGAAGCTGATCCAAACTACTTTATCGTCGAGATTGGATCGAATAGGATAGCTCACACTTTCCCTGAACTTTATAGTAGAAGAGTTGTAGAACTGGAAAGAAAGGTTACTAGGTGGTTCAAAAAGAGAGCAGATAAGTGGGAACATGAGGAGATTGAGAGGCAGAAGACTCTTATGACTTTGGAGACACCACCCCAAATAGGAGAAGAGTAATGAATGCATTGTATTTCCCTTGATAGAAATTCAGCATGGATGCTCTGGTCGAACAAAATCGTGTCACTCAAATCTCTAGTTCGTATTTTAGGACTTTAATAAGTATTCTTTGTGTAAAAGTCTTGTGGAAAGCAAGGGAGTAAGTTCAATGACGGATGAGTGGATTGCTGAGGATTCTATTTCTAACCGTAGGGGGTACAATCTAGATTAGATTCAACACCAAATTGCCTTGGATAGTATTGGCCTTCCTACTTGCTTAGCCTTCAATGCAATGTTTAAGAGCATAACTATGTGATAGAAAAACGAACAATGTTTGACTCCGTGATCATATTCTCAGGAACTGTTTGTCATGGCATGCTCTTCTTTATTCCGTTATATATACACCTCATCCACATTATCAAAATATCTTGAAGATTTTCATTTAGGTTTGTCCCACCATGACTAAATAAACAAATGTGAATAATGAAAAAACAATTTCGAGTACTTTTCTGACAGCCCATAGTTCTCAGTTGATATGAGGGTAAAGAATTTCAAAAATAGAATAAGATATATAAACTCTGAGCGAGAAGCACCAATAAACTGCCAAGGCTCATTCATCTCGCTAATGAGTGTCACATGCAGTTTCACCTGAAATGGAAGGTTCCCAGGACTTGAAGTCTGGTTTTTAACAACAGAAAGTAGCTTCCTTTTCAAGGTCAAAGCGGCTACTATTTTCTTGTGTTATTTTAAGTGCCGATAAACATATCTTTGGACAACCTTTGAACAACGCCATTGCCAAATCATTTGCTAAGCAATTTCGACAAATTGAGACTCGAAAGCTACTGCCAGATTACCAGATAAAACCATCAAGTGAAATTGTGTATTTCTATCAGGTGAAACCAGAAGGAAACGGATACAAACTCAATTACCACAAATGATGACAGAAGCTTATCAACCTCTATTTACTTTGGCTCTTGGTAAGTTTGAATCCACAATTCCAAGTACTCCACAAGGGATGCAGATTTAATCCATATGTCTAATAAAGTTACAGCGAACCTTAAACCTTTTCCACTACGGAAGTTCAGGTTTGGCTGAAACATCTATCAAATCCAAGTTACATCACGATGGTGCGACTTATCGAACCTTCAAAGTCGCAAGACATCAATGTGATCTCAGCCCGTATAACACAGAGCCCAGCCACTTCTTCAAGTGAGGAAGAATCCGATCAAACGAGTAGAATGGCTTTCAAAAGAGTTATTCCAGGCACAAAGGCTGCAAGAACCAACGCGAAAACCCGATTTCATCATGGGATTTGGATTGAACCATCAGTTGAAGAGTCTGACATGGATTGGAAACCTACTGATGAGCAGTTGATATTTGCGAATGGTATCGGCTGGGGAGATAGTCCAGTCTCAAAAACGGTTGAGAATAAGATGTTCAGGCTTTTACAGAAGGAAGTTAGGGGAACGGAGGGAGCAGAGGTGAAAGAGAGGACAACTGTTAGAAAGCGGAAGGCAATGAGTATACCTGCGCCTGTTCCAACAGACGAGACGCCTGAGAGTACTGATAGACGAAGTCAGAGGGTACGCAAACAGGTCAAAACATATAATGACAGGGACTTAGCTAGGATAGCTGTATCTTCCAGGGAGGAGTATCAAAGTGATAGTGATAATCCAGAGAAAGCGGCCCAGGAACAAACAATGTCACCTAAAAAGCCTCAAATAGCGGTGGAGGATCCAGTAGGCTCACCTGCTAGATCAGAGGCCGAGTCTTCGGACAGGGAGCCCGAAACTATCGAGAGACGAAGTCAACGAGCCCGCCCCATGGTTAAAACTTACAATACCAAGATTCTGGCCGGCACAGCTGTGCATACTCCGGCGAAGTATATAAAGAATCAGACTTGAGGGGTTGAAGCACGGCGACTAAGTATGTTATCTGGACGACGTCGAAGAAGGAAAAAGGATTAAAGTTTTCTGTACCGAGTTGGCATAAGGTTTAAAGCTTGAGAAGTGTGGATATGGGGAGTCTCGGGAAATACTGGAAGCTTATGGTACTCCACTGTCATCGGTGCCTTTTACCCTGGATGTTTCTACTACGGTAATCTGTGGCTTTCATGTATTCTGATAAGTGTGCGTAGAAGCGCAGAGAACTGACTAATGGATTGGAGATTAAGACTGGAGGAAATATATGTTGAAGGACTCAAAGACTTTTCCTGTACTATGCTAGCCGGTCACTTTCGAGGCGAGAAAGGAGTGTCACTGGCAGCACTTGATCAACAACTAATGTAAGAAAATGTGTTGATTCGCGTGCAAAGGATCTTAATACTTTCTCGAGATTATTTCAGGCTATCAAGGAACGATTATTTAGACTGCACAGCCTATCAAATACAAAATTGGCTACTCAGAATAAGACTTGAATAATTCAAGCTCGAAAGCTATTGGCTTGCAGTAAAGAAACTTCTGACAAATATGTGTGAGCCCAACTAAAATTATTGTAAAGCATTGGTCCATCCAAACTTTTTTCTTTCTGCCTCTTCCTTTTAAGACGACATGTGTTGATACATACGTAGACGATTCACCTGTTCTATTGATCAAAGACTCAGTAATAAAACCATTCTGATGAAATAACTGTGACCCATAGTTATCCCTCTAAACTAATTTCTACCATTTGAAAACCTCCTTTGATGTTTTCGAGTGCAGTCTACATTATTCGGAACCCTGCATATGATTCGCTAAGACTGATAATCACTAAAGAAAGTTTATTGGTGGGTAGGAAATGATGAGTTGAATGATGAGTTGAATACTGCGGATATTATCCCTTCTGTTATGTTTTTTTTTGGATTGTATATAAGATACGTTAGTGTCTGTTAGTATTACCTTTGTGGTGATTATGACGTCTTCATCATAGATCTATATACAATAAACTTGTGCACTACCGCGCGCTCACGTGTGAATATTCACTTGCATTGCAATAATACCACTGGTATGTTCGTGATTGTGTCGTACTAAGGATTATGAAGAATCAAGTAATCCATTAGAAGGACATAGATAACTTCATGTGGATCCTGTAGAAAGAAGCAGTAGATGTGCTGCTGAGTACGGTGTAAGAAAACAGGTGAGCAGATCTTGAGGGATATAAGATCGAATGTCTTTTGAGATAATAAAGACAGTTTTACTTTTTCATACACAATTGACTACCAAACTGCATCCCGATCTTACTGCATCCCTTCTCAAGATCGAATATGAATTTGCCTTTCTTCGGCATTGGTGGCACACCATATTCTGGGTCTGAGTCTGATGAACAGATACCAGTAGACTTGATAAGTATTGATGAGATCCAGAGAGCAGCTCAAAGAGATTACCCGAATGAAAGTTCCGAGATTGCTCTTGCGAAGTACACCATCGGAAACTTGATCAGAGATATAGAGTTCGAGAAGAGCGGTAGTCGGTTTGTTTTTGACCCTAGTATGTAGATTTCTACCTCGTACAACTATCTGTGTTAACAAGTACTCTAGATATAAGACTCTATTACGATAAACAACAGCGTCGTGGCGAGCTAGTTACCTTCTTTTTTAACTCGGAGTATCGCAAAGCACCTCGGCTCAATGAAGTCGATAGAACTTCTAACTTGTTATTGCGTTGTCGTCAGTCGCTTTGTCTAGACCCTGGAGATTCTTGGAATCTACCGATATCTCACCCTCGTCATATTCTGAAGTTTCCAAAAGGTACGTACGTAACTGCACTTAAAATCTACGTTGGTGATATTGTACATGCAAATTGTATTTTTCACTTGTGATTTTTCATGGCTGACTTTTGTGTTGCGTATAGAAATTATCAGCAGAATCCTTAATTTCATTCTCGTTCTAGAAGAAGAACAAGGCTCCTTGGTCCCAGACGCAATTACCTGTAACCTCAACAGCCAGTTCCTCTATCGAAAACCAGACTACAGTGTTCATTATTCCGAATATATTGGTCCTATATGTCAAACGGATCCCTGGCTTTACTCGCAGTACTCGATTCGATTCCGAAGAAAAACCCACAGCTTTTGCAAGCTCGAAACAGGCAGTCAGACATTGTTGAAAATGAATCATCTAGTTGACGATCGCTTCATCGACGCAAGTTGTTTACGTGTCTGTAAAGACTTTTACAATCTTTGTTCAGCGCTACTTTATTGAGACAACAGTTTTACTTTCACTACATATGTATCCAATATTCTAAGTTCAGGAGTTGGAAGCGCGTGCATGGTAGATGAAAGTAACCCCAGAAAAAGAAACCAGTATGCGAAATTTCGGACGCCTGATCCAAGTCTGCTCTCTCTCAGTGATTGGAATAATGAAATTGGTAAAGGCATTTCTCAAATCAAGGATCCTTCCTCGGTAGACCGAATGAGTTGGCTGTACTACGACCCATTTCTTCGATTTCTTCATTCTATAGGTTTGAAAAATGCAGCCTTCTTGAAAACGCTTCAATTTACTGGAATAGCCAGAACTTATACAAGCCATTTACCTAGAGATCATATTGCCGCCCTACCGTCAGATGACATACGACCTATTTTACAACTTTACGTCAAATTTATCAACCAACTTTGTCCAGGAATACAGCAAATCACTTTAAACATCCATCCAGAAGAAAGGGGGGACGGAAATCTCGAAAAGGATCTATCTCTACTCTTGGGAGATCATATCAGGGAGCTGAAGACTGTCAAGACATTGATATTACGTACTGCTGACAGTAGTCAGTCTGAGAAGTACGTTTCCATGAAATTTCCCCTTGCAACAGAGACAATGCAATGGTTTACAGACAGAACAGCGAGAAGAGTAGCTGAGGATCGCAAACTCGCAGGATTTATGCTTTAGGGTTTTATGAGGTAGGATTTGCATCAGGAGAAGATGCTTTCTGGGAGCGGTGTTGGGATTTCATTTCCCCATTTAGTTATGTTAATATTTCCATGAGAGTATATAACCCAAAAATATTTTGAGAGTTCTTGTGATATGGCGCAAGTGATCCACTAACAAGTGACTAATAGCTTGTTCCGAGAGTAAGAGTTTGGCTCAAACATCCTTGAGTGCTACTCAAATTCTATGACAACGAATGCGTCCAATACTTCACAAATTTGATTAAGTATGGAAAGATAAAGCATTTTTTGAGAGACTTAGAAATGTTTAATATTTTAAATTCATTCACGTCATCGCTTTCTATATAAGAGTGCATAATTTTCCAGACATTCAAAAATTTTACAAGTGATTTCTTAGGCTAAAACTTCAAGCATCGTATAGATTACTGCATTTGTTAAATCAGGTAAAACTCGCTATCTGAACAATACAGGAGGAATTGATGGTGTAGAAACCAAAGTCTAGGCTAGCATTTTTTAAGCGAGCGCGGGGTTTCTAGTAAGGGGGGTTTCAATTTCTCCCCAAGAAACGGTTTCGTATCGCAGGATTATAATATAACCATTACAGTCAAATTATTCTCAATTGTTAGCAGATTCAAGGATGATTCAAAGAGGGAAATACTATGCAAATGATACGGATTAATTGACCGCGGGTAAATTATCACCGTTTACCGCGCTCGGCGAAGCAAGCAAATGGCAGCGAGACATCAGAAATTGCACCAATATTCATGTGCCTCAATAAGGATAACATGAATCGCATGCTTATACTTGGTCGTCTAGCCGTACAAGTTGCTATTGCTATTCTATGATTCACGATCAACTAATAATCATTAATCACAATATGTGGTACATTGTGAATGGAGAGGTAGATTCTAATACGTCATCTTTATACAGATTGAATTATCTGCTTAAAGCTTGATATAGGACCGTACAAGTCCGTATTGCTGATATATCATTAGCATTCCGCCAATCATGAAATAGATCTATGATACATTGTTAGCTTTAACGATGATCTTTGTTAAACTCTTTTGCTACGGTTGTTGATGGTACCAAGAAGACTTCCACGAGTACTTATAAGGAAACTCACTTCCCACCTCAGAAAGTTCTCTTGCTCTCCTTCTCATCTTTCATCAATAACTTCTTTGATAAGGACTCCCTTCATCAACAGATTCAGCTACCAAGAACTTCATCTACTAAGAACTTCATTTATCAAGAACTTTATCTTACATACAGAATTTCAGATGGACTTGTTATGTTCAATACCTGGCCATTTCAATCTTCCGTCAAGACCAAAGATGTCTGCAAAAGAGAGAACATCTTATATGGAGAAGAACAATTCTCTGAAAGAGCAGCTCCGTGGATCTACCGAATTTCCAGATCTTACTCCTGAAGAGGCCCTTCAGAAACGAGTTCTTGCTCGCTGGATCCATAATCAATGGTTTATGAAAGATGGAATACGTCATATCATTTGCAGAGGCATATATATCACTGAAAAGCTTTAATCTTTCAACGCATACTAACTTGATAATCATTGTAGATATTGAATACTACTATTATAAAGCCCAGCCTCGACTCTGGAAAAATCTTTCACGTTGGAGATCAACGACTGAGACTCAGGTTTATGTCGATTATTGGGACAGTCCGGTTTCGCTAAAGGATGTGGACCGAGTAACTAAGGAGACACTTGCAGCTCGTGAAGCAATTGGAATTCATCCAAGTGAGGGAGGTTGGAATCTACCGAGACCTCATCCTAGACACTTGCTCAACTTTCCGCAGGGTAAGTTTGCTATCATTCGACTCTTATGATTTCCCAAGTAGATAGCGGCTAACTTTTGTTCAACTTATAGAAATTCTGGACAAGATTATTGGTTATAATCTCATTGTCGGCGAGGACGTGGGCTCTATAGCCCCTAGAGCAATGACTAGTAACAAAAACAGCGACTACCAAGAAGCCCATTACCAAATCGCTCGCCCTCCTTATCCTGAACCTGTTCTCCAAGACCTCCCATGTCATGGATACCGTGTGTATGCCTTTGCTGAAAGATATCATCCATCCATTGGAATGTTTGGAGATACGTTTTTCGAGAGAGGACCACAATCAATCAAGAAAACAGAAATGAGCGATGAATTTGGGCCTTACATTCAGATGCAAAATGTTTTGAGTCCAATGATTGATTCAAGCTGTCTCAGAGCATGTAAAGATTTCCACAGTTATGGTACGGAGATGCTGTACAGACATAACACTTTTACGTTTGACATTGCAACTTATAGGAATCCGCGAAAATTTATGATGTACGATCAGGATGGACCTCTCTCAAGCTCGAACGTCCTCAAACCAGATAGACACATAGAGAGTGTTGGAGTACGACAGCCATATAACGAATGGTTATCCGAAGTTAAAGACGTAGTGTCTCAAGTAAAACAATCTGTTGGCGTCAAAGACTTAGCAGGCTGGGCTTACCAAGATCCCTTCGTTCGATTCCTTTATAACATTGGCCCTGAGAATACGAAGCTCATCAAAACTCTCCAGTTTTCTGGAACTATGAAAACTCATCGCTGCGATCCAGGAAGAGATCATCATAAGAATTGTGGCGAGGGATTCATGTTGAACTTCCTTATCTATCTACAATTTATCCGTGAGCTTTGTCCGCACTTAGAAAAGCTTGTCTTGAACATCGCTCCGGATGTTCATCGTCGTTACGACAATAAAGAATGGTTGAGATGGTCTAGCTTCCTGGTAAATCTAACTCCGCTCCTGAAAGATCAACTTAGAAAGTTAGAGACAGTCAAAACTTTGGTTCTTTGTACCCGGAATGAAGCGAAACCAACTGAGCAGAATCATCTTTATGAACCAATGAAGTTTCCTCTTGCTGTAGAAACTTGTAAATGGTTTGAGGATAGGGCAAAAGGTTGGGTATCAAATGCTTAAGATTATTTGAGAGTGCTAAACAGATACTGTATGGATAAACAATTGAGAGACTCAAGTCAAGCATGATTTGATTTCATTGGGCGAGGTTGCTAGGAGTTCAGTTCGGTCTTTTGACCTGTGTATCTCCAGGTTTTTTTTAGCTAGTAATTAATGGGTTCAACTGATACATTATCATGAATCATCGAATATTATTTTACTCTTACAATCGTGATTCAACAACCTTATAGAGTTTACCTAAATAGTGATTTCACTGATAGCTAACGACCAATCCCGTGCACGTTTAACAATAGGTGACTTTGGAAAGTTTGCTTTAATTGTATTCCAATTTGCAAATGAATAACTCTTCCAAAATATATAAATACCTTGCATTCATCACCCTAACATTCAGTTCTCATCATTCAAAAACATGACTTTACTGAACTCTCCCGCGAATCGGATAGTATACTTTGAACGAGAGAGGGCATGGAATAATATAGTCGCTGTTACTGCGAGTGATAAATGCGCAAGTAAAAATTGAGCAAAGTGAATATAAACATTAGTATAGACTCCCATTGAATTACGCCATACGGCATCTCGAGTGTATACGCTGGGATGTTTCATTTGAATATTGATGCGCTGATGCGTCGCTTCATGTCTGCTGTATAGACTAGCGTCGAAACAAGCGAGTCTAACTCTTTCCCATGGCTTTATAAGCTCCCTTCCATCCAAGATCCATTCCTACAAAGTTTCTTTCAACATCAACATCAACATCAACATCAACATCAACTCCAACTCCAACTCCAACTCCAACTCCAACTCCAACTCCAACTCCAACTCCAACTCCAACTCCAACTCCAACTCCAACTCCAACTCCAACTCCAACATCTCAATACCCCCCTAAGCACATCGAAATGTCGGCACCCAGGTTTTATGGCCGCACTATTCCGTTTGGACCTTACACTCCAGAGGATCTAGTACAGGCACGCCGCGAGAATCCAGAAGAGAAGCTGGCGTCCAGGGCTTTGGAAAAATACGCCCACGCTAATTGGAACGGATCAAGCAGCAATAAATGGTTCTGGAAAAACAACTGCCGCTACACTTGCGGTGATGGTATGTTAAAATCACAGTAACAACCTAGTAATTTTAAAGAGTTCTTGCTTACTTTGATCATTTCAGATATCATCTATAATCAAATTTGGGTACCCAGAACCAAAGAAGTTCGCTGTCCTTACAACGGTAAGAAGTACTTGGTTCCACTGGGTGGTCCCCCAACGCTGTCACAGATCGATGTACCAAAGCCACAGAGGCTTTCAAAGCTACTTGCTCACAAGAGCGATATGGAATGGTGTTTGCCTCGTGACCATCCCCGTCATCTTTTAAACTTCCCGCAAGGTACATTAACTCTAAAACTCCGATTGCAAACTGAATACTAATCATCTGGATACAGAAATTCTGGACGCAATTTTTGGGTTCACATTGAGGACTCAGGATTTCATTGTCGCACCTGATGTCTCTACCTCGAACAAAATGGACAAGTATGAAGACTCCAAACTCCATTCAACCTACACGTTGGTGGGAACAGGTTATGGTATGGCTCAACCAAATACGCCTCATTTCGAATCTCTCGCTATAAGCACAGTGATACACGAGCAACGATATGATGCACAGGGAAAGTACTTCGTTCTTCGCAGAGTTTGCCGCCATATGATCGACGCAACAATTCTGCGGGTCTGCAAGAGCATCTGTGACCAGGGAAATGAACTTCTATATGCAGGAAACGAATTCAAGTTCTCGACAACAAAGACCGGCAAATTGGGTGCCGCAGACAGCTTGTTTGAAGACGGGTTAATTCCAAGCCCTGGGTCGCATAGGTCATTTTGCCAGGGAAGAGACTGCCAAAAAGCCACAGAGATGCGACAAGAAATGGCCGATGATGCTATCAGTATCATCCAAAACAGAACACCAGTGCAAGATCTGTACTTTGATATGTATCACGATCTCTTTGCACGATTCCTTCGTGCCATTGGGCCAAGCAAGGCTGCGATGATCAAGACTCTGCATTTTAGCGGACCCATCAAGCAACACTATTGCTCTCAAGACTCCAGTTGTACGAAAGCTTACAAGTGTTGCGAAGATAACTTGATCGAAAGTCTTCTTTTATACATTACTCTCATCAAGAAGTTTTGCACGAACTTGCAAAAGTTAGTAATTGTCATGAGGAAAGACTTCGAAACAAGCGATAGCTTCAGGGGGGGGCGAACATTCTATGACTACGAAGAACGAGGACGCCAGGGCTATGCGCGCCTGCAAGATTTGCTAGAAAATCAAATCAGAGAGTTGAACACGGTTCGATATCTACAGGTCTATGAGGTTCACCGGGATGAAGTAGAGTGTGCGAAAGAAACAGAGGCATGGTTTTCTGAGAGAACTCGCCTGCGGGGACCTGAGGCACTTAAAAAGGCAAAACTGCAGAGCAGAATGCAGGCTTTGACTTTTAGTGATGATGACACTAGTAGCTCTGCAGAAACTTCTGTTTGATGTTTCGGAAGGAAGACCAATGTCCCGCAACTTTCAAGGGACAGGTGATGAGGCCGGAAGTTTGGCGTTCAGCAAGATTGAGCATTATATTGATGAATAACAGGTGCTGAGCTTACAAGAAACATGTCTCTCAATGGTTGAACCATCAAACTATACTGAGATTCCAGGTGCCTATGTCTGCAAAACATAACAAATCCACTGCTGCAATGATAATTTTGTGCCAACTGACTCTTTTCTCAACTAGAGGACCATTGATATATTCTGTTCAACGAGCTCTGACTAACAATCTACAAGTAATAAGTCTTCATAAGATGCAGATCAAGTACTTCTTGTCGTGTCTTTGAACTTACTCTCTCTTACTTCCCCGGTCTTATTCGAGTGTTGTTTGACCGTCTCATTGTTTTCTCTGCTCTATTGTATAACTCTATACCTATGCTGTATCGATAAACCATAGAGATTGGGCAAGATGTCCACTTGAAAGAAATAAGTTGACCGTTAGGGGATGGTACTGTGTTGTGACTAACCATGGATCATTTCCCGTGTTATCATTGCCCAAAGTCGGCACGTGATTTAACTTGTATCTTTAGCAGTACCTATCCGGCTTCACTAGATGAGATGCATGAATTGAGTGAAGCAGAGTAAAAGTGAATATGAAAGGTCAGGTCAGAACGGGAATTGAAGTCTGGCACGTGCCTTATTCTCAGTCTCATGCCTCAAATCTCAAATCGAATGTAAGTTACAAACTCAAGTTCAGTTTCCTGCGAGATCAAACCCAAAATCAATCACACAAACAAGAATGTTCGAATGGATTGATACTATAAATTAATAGTGATTTCTTCTCTCTTCTTTTATTTCTCTTCAATAAATTCTCTATTCTCTCTCAAAATTGTGTATTGCCAGAACAAAGATGCCACCACGATTTCCTCCCCGTGTTCCGCGCCAACATATCAACAATCTTCCGCCAATGACTCAAGACGATCTTGATGCCGCACGCAAAGAGTTTCCTGAGGAAAAGCTTCCATCAAGAGCCCTGAAGAAGTATGCGAAGAAGCATTGGATTGAAGGTCGTTACTTTTGGAAGGATAATTTTCGTTATATCTGCGGCTCTGGTATTTTGACTTTCCAATGCAAGCTCAAAAAGTAACTTTGATTGCTTGGGGGTGCAATGTACTTATTTTGTCAATCGCAGATGTTCAATACTTCACAGCGACCATTCCTAGATACGAAAGGAAAACTAGCTATGACCCGAAGAGAATATACCACGTTGCTAAAAATACTCCGACATTAGCTATGATTGATCGACCGAAGAAGAAAGGACTCCAGAAGCTGGTCGCACATCAGAGTCAAAGCGAATGGGCACTGCCTCGGGATCATCAGCGGCACTTGCTAAACTTTCCTCAAGGTAAGTTGTTCGTTCTTCAATGAATACATAGAAGATGAGCTCCTCTTCAATCCCCAAATATCATAATTGTTCCACACTTCTTTCATTTCTTTCCAAGAAGACATGGTTTTATTGTTCGATATATTATGGAAATAGGAAAATCGATTCTACAAAACTCCAGAGAGTCCAAAAGAACATTTCATGAGCAAAATCGCGCCAAAATATCTCATGGTATCATGAATTCATACATTCGTTGTTGATTGCTATTCTATTATTCACCGCTAATTGTGTTTGACAGAAATCATTGATGCTGTCTCCGGCTGGGTTTTGACAATTGAGGATCATGCAATAACCCCGGACGTCACAACATCAGATTGGGCACAGGTTTTTAAGTCTCATAAGACCTATTCCCTGGATGGTGAACATAGTCTTAAATCAGAACTCAGCTTTAACACTGTCATCACACACCCTTGCAAAGATCAAGAAGGAACATACTTTGAACTTCGAAAGGTATACCGCCCCAAGATAGACGCGACTCTATTGCGAGTGTGCAAAAGCTTCAGAGACAATGCAACCAAGTTGTTGTATAAGGAAAACGTGTTCCATTTTACAACCATGGATTGGAGTGCAACCGGAAGTCCCATTTCTTGGATTGATCACGAGAATACACGTAGCTGGAATGTACCCGAGTTCGAGGGGATCACACAGCGCCCGTTGCATGAAGTTCCATTACTGTTCACACGAGTTCACGTGACAGAGCCATTTGAAAGTTTCGAGCCCGACTCCTTTGCCGTTAATGACGCTATTCGCTTGATTGAAAGCTCGGGGACTCCAGTACTCGAAGACTGTTGGGCTGCATACAGCTATCACGACCACTTTTTCCGCTTTCTCCAAGCGATTGGGAAAGAGAAGGCTGGAATGCTAAAGACTTTAAAATTAAGTGGAACAGTCATCCTACACATGTGTGAGTTCAGCGGCTCTGCGCATGCCCCCAATGGTTTAACAAAATCGTTGTGCTCCAAGGACCTGGTTGATAGCCTTCGTTTATATGTTCCGATCATCAATAGATTCTGTACCGGTTTGGAGAGACTAGTGATTGAAG